GCCATTTTGACAGATTTGTTTAGCGATGTCAGCATGTTGGCACACGAAGTTTTTTCCCTATTAAAACGAGAAAATGAACATAATTCCCGATATTAATCTTTGAATTGCAGGAACTGGATGTTTATGAGTTGGTAGGCTGGTTGTGATGCGTATCAGGGTTCAAAAAACCCAAATTTCATAGTGATAATTTTGTTTACATGTTTGTTTACGTTGTGGTTGCCCGAATTTGAAGTCAAAGGGAAGTCATACAATGAGGTATCGCTTTGCATGACGGTAAATTTTGAAGGTACCGGTATTGTAATCTGTCTGACTTCCTGACTCCCTCCGCCTGCGTGTGAATGGTTTGTTTACCCGCACTGCGGTTCGAGACAAAAGAACGCTAGTCGTTTCCAGACCGGGGATAGAGGGACTGTGCCTTGGCATAATCCTGTTCAGCAAGTGTGTATTAAAGTGCGCTCTCTTTGGAAATTCAACATCCAGCCATTTTGTTTCATGTTCATTGCTGTATGCTATGCCAACTCCTATTGGTCATATGTTTTACATAGGCACCCAATCAGATTTATGAATTTTATCACTTTAAAATGCATGGTCTCCAGTAGAATCACACACAGGTTCAATGTTAACATTGAGTTTACAAATCTGTGCAATTTCGACAATGTGTGGCATATTACTTATCTATCTAAAGAATAGCAGTATACCCATGATGCATTTCACTTATGTGCACAATTGCTTTTGTGAAAGACAAAGAAATCTCCACTGCTACAAAAAAAAACATCCCTTTGTCTTTCTAAGCTGAGAGTTAATCTCTCTATTGTTCATGCAAGATCCACAGTGTTATCACTATAATGTTGTTGGGCTTTGTTGAGACAATCAAGCACTTTCCATCAAAAACAGAAACCATCTCCAAGGAAGGACAGTCTCCTAGATCAGGAGAAAAATGTAGATTTTTTGACAACTTAACTTACAACAAACCCGGAAGCAAACTATATAGTTTCATCATATGGGTGGTTTTTCAATATTTTTAAAAAATTCTCTTGTTTTGTTTTTTTCATACAGAAAAAAATAAATAAAGAATCTCTTGTTTGAGAGATATTCTCCCAACATTTAACCTAATTTGTTCATACCAGGGAGCTATAATAATCTCATTACACCTCCCTGTTCACACCTAAGAAATGTATTTGGAGAATTGTCAAAAAACAAAAGTCTATAAAAAGAATACTAATGTTTGCTTGTTTCAAACAATCTTCATTTCGGGTGGGAAAGCCCCTTATTGAGAGAACAGCGTATCATTTTTTATTTTTTCCTCCAAGCATTTTCAGGGTGTAATCACCATATACACACTTGAGCTAAGGCAGCTTTTATTAACCTTTGAAAAAGGTTGTGTACACGACAATAGATTGAGTACAGCTTAGGCTACCATTAGATTATATAACATTACAAATGAATGAAGTCCAATCACTGTATTGTGGTTCTCTCACGGTGCATATATGCACAGACCTTAGAAAGCAACATTCCCTGGCCACCCATACCCATGCGTATCGACTTCAAACTTCTTCTAATCACAATTAAGCTACTTCGAGGCTAAGCACCAGCCTACTTATCTAAAGCCATATAATCCCATTTGTAATCTCCGTTCGATAACACAACTACTACTTAAAGTAAAGTCATCTTATAAAAAACGTGCCTTTCAGAATCTAGCATCAAAACTAAATAAATTTTACTTTTGACATGAAAAAAATGTGATTTGTTATCTGTATTTAGGAAGAAAATGAAGACTCGTCATTGTTTCAACAAGCCTACGCCTACAAGAACGAACATCAATAACTTTCATTTTTTTTTTTTAAATTCTTATAATTGTGAAGCGTCTCTGATCAGACTCTCGAGAATTATGGCGCTATACAAGTTTCAAATAATAATAATTATAATAATAATTAACAGAAAGAAAGGTCTATAATACAAAGAACAAATTGGATTTCCAGACTTCCATGAACAATAAACTAATTACTTCCAGGCTAAAAAAAGACAAAAGATTCTTTTAATGTTGTAGCAAAATTTTGGAGGAAGAATTATCCGTTGTATACTGACGCAGTCTATTTCCTATTCCTTTCAACCATCCATAGAAGCTTTCAACTTGTGATGAATAAAATTAATGACAAATTCTAACGGCAACTGCATGTATCCAGGGAAGAACGAACACAAGTTCTGTTTCAAGAAACATAAATATACTGTATGTTTCTTACGTTGGACTTTACTCAAGCATTGTTTTTGTGTACGTTCCAAATAAAATATCCTATCCTATCCTATCCTATCCTATCCTATCCTATTTTTGATTTTTGGGTCAAATTTTACGATTATTTTAATTAGAAAACACTCACGATTGAAGATGGTACCAGCGAATTATATCAACAAGTTCAAATGGTCAAGCTTCATTTTGTGACTGGTTTTACAAAAGGAAGACCATAGCTGAAGGTCAATCAAATTTAGGCGTGGTCCTCCATGCCAGGATTGCATTTTCCCACTATCCCAAAATCAAATTCCCATGCTTTTGAATCTATAGGTATTCCAATTAAAAAAGTCAAAAAGACGTGCCTTTTATGTGCATGAACACCTGAGCATATCATTTGAGAAACTCATCAACGTATGCAGTGTGAAAGAGACATGTCATGAAGCCATTCAGGATAATAACACCACCCCCTACTTGAATTAAACCATTCAGACAATAGTCAAGTTCAAAACAAAAACACCAGTAACCTTCATTGATGTGGGGGTTTATTGAAAGTTAAACAACTTGTGAAGCCACTTTTTGTGTGTATGTTTTCTAGTTTTTCGACAAAACCACTTAATATATATGTTAAGAGGTAAATATTTATTCACGGCTTATTCACGTTTTCCCAGGGTCCAAGTTAATTTAATTCTATGCTATTTAAGAATTTTGGTGTTGAAAACCTTGAAAATGGCTCTAGCCATTGTATTGAAATCATTGCTAATGGAAATGGTGGACCTTGTGCGATACTGAGTGATGAAGACAAATGGGTTGAAAGAGACGACAAATTCGCAACAGGTAGTTTGAAGTACAGGCTTCAGTAATTCTGTATTTGCCCTAGTAGAAGCAAGATGTAAACCAAATATTACATTTCTTGCATACTGATTATTAAAATATTACTTATTACTCAGTAATTTGCATAATCGCTTGTGCTACTAATACAGCATTCAAATTGCAAATGTCACATAAACTAGATATGATAAAATGTATTATTATACATCTTTCACCGTAACGCCATAAGTTACAGCGTGCCGTAATTTTGCGGTATTTTACTGGGTATTTTCATCCTACCATATTAAGAAACGCGAATTCCAAATATGGAACGATTACACGCGTAAGCGTCCTCTAATAATAAAAACAAGAAACATGGCTGCCCCAGGGTTTGACCGGACCCACACAAAGTAGTTTGCTGATTCTGTTCTAAACATTTTGGATTTCGGCATTCCGATGGTGTATCCTTGGAAGGAAAAGATGTATAATAATAATTAATGTTATTACGAGTAAACTGCAAAGCATGCACTCAGGCAGTACGCGATCTCATCGATACTCCCGCTGCATTGTCTTAGTAATACTTTGCATTATTAGTTGTGTTCACGTTACACGAAGTACGGGCTAAGATTTAAGCTGATTTAGGCTTATCTAGCATATTTGCATTTTGGCTAGACCCAATTGCGTCCACGCACAGGGCGGGCCAGTCGTTAGCACGGGCTAAGAGGTGCCATTAGTCGGTGACCTTTGGTAAGCCGCTATTTGCGAACGAAAAATGGATGACACGCGCGAGGTTCTATTTCTGCTGCTGGCATGTTTCGTTCTAAATTTGAAGCGACGTGCACAGGTACGCGAGAGAAGACGGACCCAACTTATTTGGATGCACATAAACAGTATACAACGGTCGTAACAGAATACAGAGTTTTATTAATGCACGTCGTAGACAGCGAACCAAATTTATTTTGTCTACGATTGGAGCTGCTGTACGCTCTACTACTACAGTGACCCGATTAGTGTGGAAGCGAGCGCGGAGTAATGACTGGTGGAATAGTGTCGTTATACGAACATGGGACAATTTTCACACCCAAAGGTCGCCGCAGAGGGCGCTTAGCCCTGGGCTAAGCGTTCGCGCATACTTCGTTAGCCCGTGCTAAGGTCTAGACCGCGTCTTAAATTCGGATCAGATTTAACCCGTACTTAGCATTCCTTAGCCCGTGCTAAGCGTTCACGCACGTTTTCTTAGCACGGGCTAAGGAATTTGACCTCTTAGCCCGTGCTAAGGAGCTGTGCGTGAACGCAACTATTAACCCTTGGAAGGTCGAAGTCAACATTCATCATCATTTACAAATTTTAATCCCATTGTATTTTTCCAATGTTTTGATAAAGACTTGTAGCTAAGAGATTGGTAATTTACGTGTATGTCCTTCTGGTCAAAAATTTTTAGAAAAATACATAATAACAGGCACCAACATTTTGTTGAGAAAAATAATGGTACACAAAAGGTTAATGGAATAGCAACACATTTTTCAGGATTATATTCACATTTGAAACAGTAGCATCTATGCTGTATTAAGTATTAAAATGACAGAAGTGTTCTATGGTAAAATATGTCATATTATAATAAATTTAAGAACGTCAATAAAAGGGGGGAGTCGGTGAGCAATGCATGTTCAAATACCATGTTAACAAACAGTCTTTTACATTTGATATATTTCACACAAGTTAATTAAAGTTCTCCTAAACCAAAAGTTTCCTTTGCTATATGATGAATCATTTAAATACTGTGAAATACTTTCTTTTAGCTGGAATTAATTTTCACTGAAAAGAATTTTTGAGTGTTTTGTATGATTTCATTTTCACTGATTTTTAACGAATTAAATGTAAAATACGAGAAAAAAAGAATATTCGCTTGATTTTATATTCACTGAATCATTCCTTCAGTGAAAATAGCGAAAATTAATTCCAAGCGAAAATAAAGAAGTTTACAGTACTACGTATTTTGAGCATAGAATAATTCGTGTAATTTACGATTGCGTATGCGCTATTACAGCGAATACGCTAGCAGAAAATCCAAATGTATCCATATAAAATCAGGTTAGTGTGTTTGCAAAACTACATCAATATAAGCAATATTAGACTTCTAATAGGTTAATGTAATTATTCTGTAATATTACTCAAAAGCGCATCTGGTTTGTACAGCTCAATAAAAAGAGAAAAAATTGAAGGATACAAAATCGTGGACCTGCATCTCAATCGTCTCGTTGTGCGATATAGTACTTTGGGGATCCATTTGTTTTTGGATAAATCAAATAGTATATATATCAAATTATACTGATGACGAATCTACCGATTCAACGAGACGCAGTGGTCTGATTTTTCATGTTGTTCTGAACAGCATGAATGACCTGTCAGGATTTTCCCATTGTCAATTTCGCTCAACAGAACAAAACTTAACATACATATGCATTGAGAAGAGAAATAATTATATATAGACGACCAACTACTTGGTAACAACTTGGGAAGAGTAAAGCTCTTTAAAAATAGAATGTCAAAGATTTCAATATTAAGAACATCAGTTAAATTTGTTTTAATAACTTATGCAAATTACGCAGTTGTGGTTCTCTGTGGACATACCAGTACCCCCCCCCCCCCAATAGCAAAAATCTGGAGCAAAATTATTTCTTTACATATTTCAACCAAAAGTTTTCAAAATCTGATCAAAGTTGATGATTGGAGGCATCATAACCAACTATCGTGGGCACTGTCACCTAAATATTGGAGTTCCTAGGCACTTTTTTAGGTATGAGAAGGGGGTCCAGAGAATTTCATACAGTAAAATATTTTATTTTCACTTGGAATTAATTTTCGCTGAATCAGTGAAAATAAAATCCAGCGAATATACCTTTTCCCTATATTTTACAGTAAAAATTAATTCCATACAAAAAACCCAAAATGTCTTTTCAGCGAAAATTAATTACGTCTAAAATAAAGTATTTTATACAGTATTATGTAAAAATCAACAACTATTGAAGTTTGCATACTCAAATATTTGTACTTAAGAAGATCCGGATGCAGTACTGGGAAAACATCTCTGTAGAGTCAATGCTTATAATAAAGCAGAAATTTTCATCTCTGTCAACATTCAATTTTTAATATAACAATTCTATACATTTTCCCAACGAGACATAAAATCATATCAGAATATATGCACTTCATGAAAGCCATAAGAAACATTTAATTTTGAATTGTCCATTTCATAGCAAAAAAATAGTATTTATTTAATAGTACAAAACCTAAACCACATTATTTTTACAATTCCACTTATCAGTGAAATGCACCACATACGGCATAATTGGGAAATGTTTGTTTTTCGTTTCAAAGGACGTTTTTCATCCCAATCAACTTGTTATGCATGTATTCAAAACCATAATTATTTAATAAACGTACACATCTATTTGTTACGGTATTGAATAGTCTTATTACAAAATTAAAATTAAATCTGCATAATTTTTTTTACAGGCCATTATTGCTTGATACATGTACATCTAGTAACTTAAAAGTCATCCTACCCACAATAAGACAAGTTGGTTAATACTTATACAAAATATTTGAAATCTGAAATAACAATAACGGACAATTTTATTTTAGTATTATATTCTACATTTTATTGCTGTCAACTAACTATTTCTAAGGATGCAATAAATTTATTTTTATTATATATTTAACACAGAACTCAAGATTGAGACTAACCAGGGTTAATCTGTTTACACAGGTTTTAATACATTGGGTTAACTGTGGGAGGAACCCTGACTTTTGCTACGCTGAATAAATCAGAAATTATTTCAAGCACGCAACCAATATAGTTTTTAACAATTCAGCCATCTCAAAATATACTTATTTGTTCATGGTGTGATTACTGGAAGGATTCTGGGTAACAGATAATATAAAAAAAAATTGAAAAAAAAACATAATTTTCAAATAAAAAACAATGCATATAAGAGGTGATTTCAACCATTTACATAAACCTAGGGTTAAAGGGTTGTTGCATTATTACATTTTATTTTTAGAGCAGATTCACAACTATAAATCCAGCTTGGCCAGTGTTGATGTCTAAAGTTATTAGAAAGTATTAGAAACAGCATTTCTCTATTAATTATCGAAAGCTACATGTATATTCTTTTGGTGAAACATTTTGTAAATATTTTTTATGCATTTTTGGACCAAATCTCATTGATCCATTGTATAATGATAACATTTTTGAAAAATAATGAATTTATGTGGGTTTAACTTATTTTCGCTTTCCAAAAACTACCCTTATAAAATAACTAATAAATAAAATTGAAAAAAATTAAATTTATGAAAAATAAATTATTAAATACATATTTAAGAAAGCATGAAATACACATTTTATATAGAAAGCCTCCACAAAATGAACAGTTGTCATTTCTTCTCATTCGTCTGTCCCTTAACACAAACACACACACACACACCACCGCTGCCAACCCATCCCAACAACCCCATCTGAACTCCGCCCACCCTACCGTTTCCGTGCCACAATTGACTGGGCAATCGCCGCGCACACATTGATGCATGAACTTAGACAACCTTTTTCTGACCTCTTATATTTTTGAAATATGTCCACTATTTCATATTTACAGGTCATACGTAGGTCAGTGTAGTACGACCTCTGTACTTTGAGGTGTGTTACATGTCAAATGCTGAATCATTGTGAAACGCGGATTCAGTGAAAACACAGTCTAATTTTAGAGTTTAGTTACTTCGCTATTTGTAGATTATAAGCACCAATGCTGTATGCAGGGCGTAAAATCAAGTAGCTGTGTACGTTGCCGGACACCGAATAAGGGTTCTCCACGGAAAATGTTCAACATAGTGGCCACCTCTTCACTTAATTTTGATGAATAATAAATAGAACTCTTATTCTAAAACAATTAATACAATAATGATAAATAAGATATTCTATTGTCGCGACAATTAGCATGGGTATGATATTTTTGAGGGGGGGGAAGGGACAATCACTGCATTCACAATGTTGGGAGGGAAAATTTAACTAACACATGACAATACACAGTCCCTGGGAAATCGCTTTTAAAAGTGGAATTACCGTCAATTCTGGATGACACTACTATAAAGGATATAATTGGCACGGCTTTGTTACGGAAATCCACGACCGTGTATCTGCCGAGCGGGTCCACGTAATCTATCATATGGTGAGGGCACTGCTGACGCTCGGCTGCTGGCACTTTATTTGTTATTATATCCAAACCTTTGTAGACCTGCAATAGAATACAATGCATACATGACAATGCTACACTTGTGGATGATCCCGTCATTGTCAATTTTAATCGCTCGTTCAAAAAATAAATCCGTATAAATAGTAGATTTCTCGTACTTTCCTATTATGTCAATTTTTACAATGATTGTAATAATAATTCATATACGAGTTCCACATGGATGAATCAAACCTTTCGGGAATGGAGACAACCAGAACTGCACCTGAACACGGCAATGTCAAATAGTATACATCATTTTTGAGCAGATGTCAGTGAAAATTTGCTTGTTGAAAATTGGAATAAATAATTAATGATACAATCATGCAATGAATATTTCAGAAAGAAAATAACTGTTTATATAATTTAGCATGAATATAGTAGAGAAAAGAAAATAGGTCACAACATAACACAGTAATGGTAATAAAATGATAATAATGTAATGAAAATAAAAGTTTTATCAGCCAGTTTCCTCTTTTCATCACAAAATACTGTAAAATACTTTATTTTAGCTGGAATTAATTTTCGCTGAAAAGACTTTTTGGGTGTCTTGTATGGAATTTATTTTCACTGATTTTTGACAAGTTGAATGTAAAATATAGGAAAAAAGGTTTATTCACTCAAATTTTGTCTGTTGGCTCTAAAATAAGGGTTCATTTCCAAAAATATTTAAGAATATAAGGGAAAAGTGTAGAAAAATTTGGGCAAGAAAGTCTGGTGGTGAAAAGGTTAAACCAGGATAAATAATGACAAGTTATCTAAGTTTGAGTAATAAATATATACGTTTACATTCTAAGATGATATATGTATATGAATGTACATTTCAAAATTTGAATCATTAAGCCTAAATTGAAATGAGCATGTACAAGAGTCTCATATGTACGAATGCGTAATGTGTGCAAAGTTTTAATGTACTCGGTAAAGACATATAATTTATATGCAAACCTAAGTCACCATAGATAGACGTGTAACACATTGCAATTGTCAAACTATCAGAAACACGTACAGACAATGTTAATGAGAAGTGTACTGTGAAATCTGTATTAGAAGCTGCGTCTACCGGTACATGGTACAATACAACAGACGGGATGTTGCGCCTATTAGAGCATCAAAACGTATGAGAAATAGAGAATTTTTGATTCTTAAATATTCAAAAAGAATGGATGCAGCCTGCTATTAGGGATGCAGCTTTTGATAGTCGATTTCAAATGTAGGAATCACTCCGTCCTTGTCAGAGCTATTTATCCAAGTACCAACATTGCAATATTACACTATTAACGTCTGGAGAAACCATTATTTTATTGGAAGTACAGAACACTTACGTGAATGCAAACCCATTTAAGATGATTTATATAGGCTACGCTCAGACTGCGCATTATATTAATACACCACATCAAACCACCAGTGTACCCATCTGTCTAGTAGAATAATTAATGTACTGTATTTACTCTATTAAAAGCGCACAATTGCATGGGTGTTGGACTATTACCGTAAAATCTGTATTAGAAGTCGCATCCCTAATAGAAGTCGCACCCATTTTTTTAAAAAATTGGGAATCAAAAATTCATCATTTCTCATATGTGTAGATGCTCTAATAGAAGCCGCATCCTCTCTGTTGTATTGTACCATTTTAATAGAAGCCGCGGCTTCTAATACAGATTTTACAGTAATATGTGACTTATTTTGATCATCAGGATTCCCTAGTCATGTGATAATAATAAAACAAATTCAAATAATACTGTTAACGTTTATTATTTGCTGGTTTTTAATTTCACTAATTTTTATTGATAAGTAAAATTCGCTAAACTAAATCCATGTGAACATTTAAAACAATAGTTAGTTTCCTGCCAAGGAACACAAAACTACAGAAACCATGGAAACTAAATACACGAAGTACTGTAGAATATTTTATTTTCGCTTGGAATATATTTTCGCTGAAAGAATGATTCCGTGAAAATAAAATCCAGCGAATATACTTTTTTTTCTATATTTCACATTAAACTCATCAAAAATCGGTGAAAATAAATTCCATAAAAAACGGCAAAAAAGCCTTTTCAGCGAAAATTTATTCCAGCGAAAATAAAGTATTCCACAGTACTTAATTTACGGTGTTCAAGCGTATTACTGACATCATTTACAAATAACATCGTAGTATAAGAAGACATATTTAAACGCATGCCTTTCGGCTGATCAACTAATATGCGTCTAATTTGGTTACAAACCGAGCCAGCCCTAATGTGCAGGAGTGCAACAGCGTTAATCCCGCTGCAATGGATTAACAATATGCAGCACATATGTAACGTAAACACAGTAATACGCTAGGTATATCAATACACCCTATACATGTGTATGCCAGATGGTGATTAAATTTGGAGTTCCTATATAATGTACTGTATCAATTACGCCAGTAACAACTAAGAGATATTATAAACAATAGTACTAATGTAATCATAAAACTAGGTACAGCACGTAAAACAATTCAAACGCTTCAAACGCGGATGTATGCAGACATATGGAGGCAATCCGAAATGTGTTTCTTTACTGTGACATTTTTGTAACATATTTGTGACATTTTTGTGACATTTTTGTGACATATTTGTGACATTTTTGTGACATATTTGTGACATTTTTGTGACATATTTGTGACATTTTTGTGACATATTTGTGACATTTTTTGAATCCCAAGAAAGATTTTTGTGGCCCTTCAGAATTTATTTCATGGTAAATGTTTAAAATGGATGGAGGCAATCCAAAAAATGTTTTTTTACTGTGACATTTTTTGAATCCCAAGAATGATTTTTGTGGCCCTTCAGAATTTATTTCAACGACACAATTTATCATTACATCTTTCTCTACTTTAGTCTTTCAAATTAAACATCTTCAAGTATAATTATGACACAACGTAATGATTAGTGACGTCATTTAGAAAAAATGATATAAGCATTGTATCCACCGTTCCACAAAATGACTAGGTTTCTTTTAATGTCATTCATTTGTTATTTACGATGCATTTATTATTCAAATACAGTAGATTCAAGGCGTCACTTGCAATGAAATAACATTTCTTAATTATAATTTTTCCCACGTAAATTTTTTGCCCATTTTTAGGTAATTTTTTCTAATTTCTTTGTAATGTGGACATATTTTTCCAATTGGCTGTAGATATTAATCAACATTTTTGAAAGAAAAATTTTTTTTTACAAGGGTTAATTTTGTGAAAGGTGTTAACTGACTTTTGGCCTGAAACATCGTCTGCTGAAAGGTTTCACAGAGAGGAGCCAAAATGAATGGGAAATTAAACAGCATAATCAGACAATGTGTTCACGTTTTCACCACCAGACTTTCTCGCCCAAATTTTTCTGCGCTTTTTTTCTGATATTCTTTAATATTTCTGGAAATGAACCCTAATTTTGGAGCCAACAGAATAAATTTGAGTAAATTTTCAGTTTTTACTCAAACAATTTTTTGCTATTGAAGGAAATTGCAGACTATGAACAGGGATATTTTGTAAATTTGTGACGGCAAATAGGGAACCGATAGTGAAAGGTTAAGAGGAAATTATAGTTGTTCCGATCCAGTTCCAGACTTCTCCCATTTCACACTTTGTGAAACGATACGGCTATAGAGAATATCTAATGAGAGACACATGAGAACAAGTGTAGCCATTTTTTATACGTTTCAAGCCTTTGGCGAGAAACTTATAAGAGTTAAAACATGATATAACACGGCCACAAATTTTGATATTCTATTTATCACATGTATACATTTCGAGCTTTTCCGCTGCAGATACTGAGTCGTTATTTGTTTGCAAGTATAATAAGCTTCATAGCGCATTTTATTCATTTGCATATAGGATCGCTATTTCTTGAACGTACATTGCAGACAGTTTATTGGCTGTGAATAACCAAATAATTCATTTTTTGAACCATCAATGTACTAGTATATTGAAAACATAATAAACAAACTAAATAGTGGACAAGTTCTATCTGTGGTCTTCACACATTTCAACAGCCAATCAGCAAGCAGCAGGCTTTACCCAACCACCCATCTACCTGTCATTTTAGACAGAATTTCATTAGACAGGCAAACCTGTCAAATTTTGATTGAAAATTACCTGTAAATTATAACCATAAACATTAACAAAAAATTGATTGTAAATCTGTGGTTGGGGAATGCTATCATTTCGATGGAGTTTTTAGACAGGCACTTTCTATTTTTTGGCTATAAACCTGGCAAGCAGTAGCAGTGGTTCAGTGAAGAAAAAATTTCATGTGTTGCCATGGTAGGGACAAGTAGAAATGAAGAAATCCTCGAAAGAAACTTCATAACAAAAATGCACATTGGAGAATGCATAAAACTATAGGTACATGTACTGTAAAACACCTTATTTTAGCTGGAATAAATTTTCACTGAAAAGACTTTTTGGGTGTTTTGTATGGAATTTATTTTCACAGATTTTTGACGAGTTGAATATGAAATATAGGAAGAAAGGTATATTCGCTCGATTTTATTTTCTATGAATCATTCCTTCAGCGAAATACCGAAAATTAATTCTAAGCGGAAATAAAGTATTTTACAGTACTTAGCAAGGACCTTTAGATTAATCATACTGTAAAATGACTAATTTTCACTGGGTTTAAATTTCACTGATTTACCATTTCAGGCATATTCAGTGGGTTTTAAATTCACGGTTTCGTCATTTAGATAATGTGTTCTATGCTAAATTTTACATATTCACTGGGTTTTAATTTAGCGCATTTTCCAGTCAGCGAAATAAGCTAAATTAAAACCCAGTGAATAATTTCCCCCTTTACAGTATTTTAAACATTTACCATGAAAAAAAATATTCTAGATAAGCTATATTTTGCCATTTTCGGAGGCGACTAGTTGGTGATGCGACAATATCAAAGGACCAATCAGATTTGCTGCCGAGAGATGTCATATAGAACAGTTTTATGTTACTGATATTGCATCATACACACGATTATCTTCGTTACAAGTATTTC